TGAGATAAAAATGCAATTTCACGAAGCTCTCAAGTCTTTCATTTCTACTGTTTATTAGGATAGTTCCAATCTAAGCTGAGTATTGTCATTTTCTGGTAATTTTCTGGTGCCAGGCAGCACTAGCCAATGTCGAGGTGGTTTTATCAATGCCCAAAACAAAACAAAAAATGGGTCATTATCAGTATCATGCTAATAGTGTACAAATGATTCCAAATGGTGGTTTGTATAGAATACACTGAGTTCTTTTTTTTATTGATGACTTGGTCTGGAGGCTTTAGGTAAGAGAATACATATTATTCTTGGAACTATTTTCCTTTTGGCCCTTTCTCACAAGGACATTTTAGTCTTGATGACTGAAAGTTATGACTAAAAGACACTTGTTTCACACTTTGCCATCTATCTTGAATGAGGACCGAGAAATTTGAGTGTAGGCTGTGTTGGACTTTGTTTTTTTAGAAGCTGAACTATCAGCGTCATGATAGTAACCCACTGACACTTGGATCAGCTGTAACATAACAGAAGTGCCTGAACGATTGCTGGGGCATCCCTGGTAGCAAGACCCACAGGGAACCCAATCCAGTCCTCTCTTTTTGGTCCTCTCCCATGGTGGGGTAAGGGGTCAGGTCAAGACTCTCAGAATCTGGATCTCTTGCCTCGCACGAATCTCCTCTATGCATTCTGTATTCTAGTTGAGATTGGCTGTCACCCTCAGGAATTACTTACTGTCTCTGACTTGGATAACTTAGCTTCGGACATTCAACCACCCTGGGGTTTGTTCCTGTCAGCATGAATCTGACTGTACTCATCTACAGGCCCAGTCATACCCACCCCAGCCATGAGATCCAGCCAGCCATCCCATATGCCACCCCTCACTCCCAACACACCACCATTGTAAGCTGCTACCTCATATTGATAGCTCATGTCAAGCTCTCTTGCCCTCTTTAGATTGTAAGCTCCATAATGGCAAGAATCCTAAATTCCTCTTCTTTGAAACCTCTAAAATATGTGTAGACATATTTCATAGCTGAACATAATCTCCAAGAACCACAGAACCCCAGGTTGGTTTAAAAATGAAAGAGAAAGTAAAAGATGGGTAGTGAGGTATCCGAGACCAGGGATCTTAGAGAACTTTTATTTGTCAGAACTAATTTCAGCCTCCAAGTTCTACTCTGACCCTCCTTCAAATCCTTACCCCCCCCAAAACCTCCTAGCCCCTACTGTGAACTACAAACACTACTGTCTATAAAAACAACCCCATTTTCTGAGGTAGATTCTTGCTTGAGAGAGTAGTGACTTGCATACCAAATGTGGGGATAGAATACAAAAAGAAGGTTAAAACACAGTCAGTCATACTCTTCGTGATGTACCTGTTTTAAGCATTTCTCTTATATTAACTTAGTTATCATCATAACCATCACATGTTGTAAGCACTAGCAGTACCTTTTGCTCTGACCCCACTTGCCTAGCTTTACAATGTGGTAGACAGGTTGGTTTCAAATTCTGGCTACTCTTCCCATCGGATTTGGGGTTTATGCCCCTTTCCCTGAGGCTGAGAGAGGTCTGTGGATGCTTTGACCAATAGAATGTGATGGAAGTGACACTGTGTGGGTGTCCAGGACCAAGCTTTAAGAAACTGGCAGTCTCTACTTCCTCTCTTGGAAAGCTCTCTCTGGGACCCCTGAGCCTCCATGAGAGAATTCTTACTATTCTGCTGGAAAGACTACATGGAGAGTCACAGAGACTATATGGAGAGGGAAATGGACCCAGCTGAGTCCAGTGTTTCCAGTTAACCCACCCAGGCACACGGCACATGAATGAAATCAGACCCTCCAGACCCAAGTAGCCACTGAGTAACTCCAGCAGACTCCACATGGGGCAGAAGAACTGCCTTGCTGAGCCCTGCATTTTGTGAGATCCAATGACGTAACTGTTGTTTTAAGTCACTAAATTTAATGGAAAAGTTGGTTTCATAGCAATAGTTAACTAGAGCACATGTGAATTGCCTAAGGTCACTTAGCTTATATGAAGAACTAGGTTTTTCATATTAGGCAAGTCTGACTCCAAGTGCATGCATTTAATCACTCTGCAATAGCCTTACCACTGGAAAAAATACAAATAAAATTGCCCAAAGCACATTAACTATTCAGAAGGGAAAATGCTCCATAAGCCATGCCTCTTCTAGCTGTTAGATGATGATAAGGTATGTCATAAAGCCTATCTTGTTTTGTGGTTTTCACAAGTAGGTCTGTAATGAACCAGGTTATCAACAAGATCAAAGCATCAATTACTTCCATATCAACTCGAAAACTTTTTATTCATATTCACACACAGTTAAGAGCAGCACTGAAAGCACTTTGCAGTTTTCTTTTGATCAGAAACCAACACTAACCAAGGTCTTATCAGAAATGACCTGCTCAAATGATGCTTTCTCAGCTTATGCTCTAAGAAGGGACCAATAGATTTTTGAATAACCAAGATTTTATACTTGTGGATTCACACGCTTATTCTGTTTTTCCTGGAAGAGCCTCATGTTAGGACAATCCAAATAAAAGGGGACAGAACAGAGTATTGTTTAGAAAAGCGAGTGATGGGCCCGATGAATATAAAATTCAGTCTTCCCTACTTCTTTTTTCTCCTTTCTGAAGTATCTCCCAGAAAGAAGTCTTTATGGGTCCACTTTATCCAAGAATATTAGCTGGATCACAGAGGATATATTAGAGATTCTGAGACTGACCTTCTTCATCCAAAGTATTTGGAGTGTGGGAATTGTGAAAATCCAAGGGTTGTTGGATCCCTAGTCCTAACCCTTGCTTGACGTGGTCTATAGAATGTACTTGAGATCAGAATAGGCTTGCAGACAAGATAGGCTATGAGTTTTCACGGAGCCCAGGACAGAGTTCTTACGGCTAGCTGGCAAGAATAAAATGCCCCAAACCATTGGCATAAAGTTATTTCTTCCAGCTAATCTTTAAAAAGAACATGGGGCTTTTTTTATACCTCATCTCAGTCTAATCCAATTCTGCTAGCCTGTTGGCTTTCCTCCAAGAATATGTATTTACACACCCTTAAAAACAAAGAGCGTCAACAGATTTATAACTCATTTTTATAGCCTTGATATAAGCAAAAGGAGAGACATGTAGATGTAATCCAGTTATTACTAGACTCAGAGGAAAACAAACACATGCCAGACAGGAGGCTGTTAGAGGGTATCCTCCACCCAGCCACATCCGCTAAAATGAGAACAGGTTCTCTGATATTTAGGATCATAATCGCTGGCAAGATTTGCTCTACACTTCACCAGAAGCTGTGGCTCTCTCGGTTTGTGGAAAGGCTCACTCAATCTGCTCCCATTTATGAATTTGCTATAGGAGGGAAAGCCAAAAACCACTAAATACCATGGCTTAGTCCGTGAGTCCCCATGTAACATTAAATACTCCTGAGGTCGGTAAAAATTTGGCCTTGAAAAAAGACTACAGGACCAGCCTCTGCTATGAAGAAAAAGCCATTTGCGACTCTGCTTCCCACAGAGTTAGTGGAAGGTATTCTGACAGAAACAAAACGAGTCTGCCAAGGCCTGTGCAGACAGAACTATCTTTTCACTAACAATAAACAGATCCGCTCTTGAGCTATAGAGAGTCATAATAGAAATATATATTGCCTTTTATCTTCTTTTCAGTGAGTAGAGTGAAGTGTCAGGAGTTATAGCTTTAATATCAGAGAGAAAGCTTTTTTTTTTTTTTGAGCATGGGCGTAGGTATGCATGGAACAGCACACGGGGCTGTGAGACTGCTGGCCTAACCAGGTCCCTGTCGCCTTTCTAAAACACATGGATTGGCCCGACAACATCATCGGTGTATACAGCTTCGAATCACTCCTAGGGAGTCATGGAAGGAGCTATCTGGACATTTTGGCTCAAAGAAATGGAAAAAGGAAGACAACACTTTTAAACTCTACCTAACTTAAGTAAACTTAATTCAGAAGAATGAGAACACATAGGGGAGTTAATTGATTATTGATTGACTTTAAGTTTACAATGCCTACTGAAGTTAATAGAAGGGTGATGTCAAAGACTCAATTGAGCCCCAGGATATTTTCTTAAAACTAAGAAACAGAAAGGAGCAGTACCGATCTACTGAATTTTCTACCAACACTAACTAGCCTAGGGGTAATTTCCCCACAAGCAATCGGAATGTCTTATTTTATGCCAGAGCATTTAAGGCTAATAATTCGATTAACCTTCTACCCCCTACTAACTAGATTTATGAAATGCCAAGGGAGTTAGCAAAGCATTAAATTTTAGCTTCAGTATAATTACTTTTAAGTGAAAAACAAAAAACAAAAATGTTACCACAAAATAAGAACTTCCTACATAGCTAAACCCAGACCTTCACATTTTCTAATGTAATTAGGATCTTGGTCAAATATAAAGGAAACAATATGGACAAAAAGTAACATGTAATTAATCAACACTTAATATCAAACACAAAGACTGCATTTTATAAAGATCAGATGAACCTCTAGCTTCAATTGCTCTTGATTTAATGATACCCACTGGCTTCAAAAATGAACAAATCATGTTCCAGTAAAGCCATCAGGAGGATGTGACTGGAACTGTACTAGGATATAGTCTTTCCTGTGATAACGAATTTTTATTTTCTCCTTTTCTCTTTTTGAAAAGAAAAGAAATATAATAAAATAAGAAGAGAGAATATTTCATACTTAAAGTGTTAACCATTGCTCATTTTGAACAACAGCTTTACCATTTCAGTGGTAAATATGATATGAGTAATAACCCATGAGTGCACACAAGACTTAAACAACTTCTTTAGGAATGACTTTGTCTTTCTCTATTCCTGAGTCTCATTACTATGAGGATCTGTAGGTATTCTTCCTATAAACATTCTAATTCAGACTCTCTAGCTACATAGCTATACTGACCGTGATAGCGATGTCTCAAAGACAAAAAAGCAGAATCAATTAATAGTTGGAGAAAGACTTACCTGAATGCTGGCTGTTGAGCGATTTTTGCGGGTTGTGGTCGTAGCCATTGTAGTGGTGGTTTCCATGACAGTTGTAGACATTTCCGGTGGCATGGCGGTTGTCTGTGTTGTTCCCAAGATTGATGGGACTTCTCCCACCAGTCGGACACTTCCATTGATTTTAATATTGGGGTTGTTCTCAGCTGCCATGTTCAGTACTTTCAAACCATCATAATAGAGCCCAGAGAGCTGGCCTTGGAAGAGGCGTCCTTTGTCTTTTCCACCGATGGCTATTTGAGCCTGGGTGTTGAAGATGGTTAACTGCCGGCCTAGTGGGTTGGGCGGAGGAAACATCATTATTCCCATATATTTTCTCTTTTTGCCTTGCTTGGTCTGAATGGACCAGGCATAAAAACAGGCTTCCGTGAGTAAATGAAAGGGACAGAATCAAATAAAAGTCCAATGCAAATATTAGCAAGTAACATTTCACTATGTTTATCTCTTCCACCGTCTAGCTGAATATCCCAGGTAATCTGAATAATCAAATCTATTTCCTTATTGTGAGGAAGGAGAACCTTGGTTCAATGATGAAGAGTATTGTAACCTTCTTGGGTATGCAGTTGTGGACAACTGAAAGAAACCCCAAATCAAGTGATGATAATAATAAATCATAAGTGCCAACTGCACCGATTTTTTTAACCTACAAAGTAACATAACAACTAAAAGAATTATATCTAGCAAAGACTTTGTGAGGTAACTCAGAAAAGTGAATTAAAAACTAGGTCTGATAATTAAGTTAAATTAGCTGAAATTAAATTAAATTAAATTGCAATTAAGACTTGGATTCATTGCATGCTGATAGAAATGAACATTTAGGTCACCAAACATCTCATTTCCTAGGAACCTTCATATTGCCTAATATTCTATCTAGACTTGTTTTTTAATAAACATCATGACAAATCATTTCTTATCTCTATTAATGTTGAGGTGAGGGGATTATGATCATAGAACTAAATGTCTTCCTAAAATACAGAAAATAAGTGGGCATTGATGGGGGTGGGGAGGAGAAAAAAGATGTCATTCTAAATCAATACATTTTAAAAGGGGGGATGGGTATTAATGAAAAAGAAACACATAAAACTCTTTAAAATGCTACAGAGGTATGTTAATGGGTTGGAGAATATCAGTAGCTCACCTTATTTGGAGTCCCCATGTGGGGAACCATTTATGCTTCTGTGGATAAATATCTCAGAACGGAATCATGGTAGAACAGAATTTAGAATAGTATAATGCAACTTATCTTCTTCCGACTACTTCTAGATCTTTCCCAGAAAACTCTGAAAGGTTTTAAAACATTCTATGCTATTATCTCTTCAGACTATTTCCCTCTGCTTTTCCTTATGGACAAGAGGGAAAAACGTATCAATGGAATTAAATATATACCTTTTGAATTTTTCTTCACTTTAGTCAATGATTAAACAATGTTTCACTCATTTTTAAAACAATCACCTGAATTATTTTAGCTATAAATGACTGGAAACAATGTTCTGTTATTATTCTTGCCTGCTTAATAAAAGGGAATATATTTTTAAAAGACTGGGGTTTTTGCTTCACAATCTCTAATATGAATAGAGGCAAACTATGATGTTTAGGCTGTTAATCTCTACTACTATTATATGGTCTTTAAGTCTATACAATGATTAGCTATCCTTGAATTTTTGGTGTACAGTGTGAAATATTTTCTCAATGTATAATAATGGATGAAATGAAAGAGGCAGAGAAAGGAAAACATATCTACTCAGAGGGAACTTTCTATACAAAAGTCAACTCTGCTTCTTGGACAATTCTTAAGGGCATATCAGCCAGGTATGATTCATAAATAATATGTCTTTAGAAGCTTCAAACACTGCAGTATGGGGGAACTGGCCAGGTAATTTTGTTATAATGAAAAGGATCTTCATTCTATAAAAATATCTGGAGCATGGAAATGAAATCTGCTGGCCTTAATGATAATGGAATTTCCCAGATCCTAAGGGTACAATCAAAATAGATCTAATAGATTTCCATTATTTTCCCACCAATTCCTTCAGTGCCTGTGCATATGCATCATTGCTTGTCCTTTGGCCTCTCATTTCTCATATAACATGTGGCAAAAGTTCAAAGCACAATGACACTGGGTAAAGATCTGGAGCTCATACCTCTTTACTACTTGTTTTATGACAATAGCATTTTCTGAGAGCCCTAAGCTTACTACAACAGAAATGCCATGATGGAAGGAGAGAATAAATATTCCCTCAACCTTACATAGGCATTTGCGACAGTTTAACATAAGTAAGAAGCAACCTAGTAGGAGATCTCTGAGACTAAAATTCAGTATCTTACATCAAAGAGCCCCAAGCTATCCCTTCCATTCACGCAACTGTTGGCCAACCGTAATATTTACTCATCTCCGTTTTTGAATATGATCCAGTATTGATGATCAGTTAATGGTTCTAACTGATTATAGGTAGAACATTTTATATTTCCAATACTCCTGAAAGCACTTCACATCTAAAATGGTCCTCATCTATTTTCCTGGTGATATTATTCTGCCAATGCTTAAAAATAAAGAGTCAGAGAGAATTGAAATGCAAAGCTGAATTACACTGGCCAGAAATAATGGAGTTCTTTCATTTCAGCTGCCACAGTTCACTCCGTAAAGTGGCCTTGTTTGTTCAAGACTGACCCAAGCATGGAGACAGGGAAGACGTTTCCTGGGCTACAAGATTAAGCCACTGCTCCACTTCCGGCTATCTCTGCTTTCCCAGAGAAATCTGACTAATCGCTTGAGAACAAGACACAGCGGGGTGGGGGAGGGTGAGACAGAAAAGAAAATTGTCTATGTTTCAATTTTCCATGATGCCACAGGAAGGATTGGAATTTTGGTGGCTTCTCTGTTTCATGGTCCATTTCTGGCTAGATCCACTTTTGTGTTAAGACTCTTTTCTAGCCCTCTGTACCTTGTATTATGTGGTTGATAGTAAAGCTGGCAATCACTAAAGTAATAATAAGATACTCTCAGTCTCCTGCTATGTCTTCTTTTGATTGATTTATCTCTCTCTGCTAAGAGGAGTAAGTGAACAAGCAAGAAACAGCCATCACTATCCTCTCCCTTTGAAGGATATAAGGACTGGCAAGAAAGTTTTATCATTTGCCCAAGATTTCTCAAGATCAATGCCGGATCTCATTATTGTCACTGATTATGATCAATCCTGATTTTTAGATAAAGTCATCATGTTATCTGCATCTATTTTCCAATCTGAGAATAGTTCTATCATCAATAACACAAAATTCAATCCTGATTTTTAGATAAAGTCATCATGTTATCTACATCTATTTTCCAATCTGAGAATTGTTCTATCATCAATAACACAAAATTTGGTTATAACCTTTTGAAGGGAAAGTTAGCTAGACAGAGGAAGGGGTAAAGCCATAGATGTTACTCAAATTACAAAAAATGCCAGTATGGGATTTTGTAGCAGATTGCTTTCTGCTTTGTTTTAGGTGCCCATCCTTCTGGAAGTTATTAATTGTTACCTCGTTTGGACATCAAGTTCACATACTGCTTAAAGGAAATCTTTGCACGTCTCTAGTTAGTGTTGCACAAAGACTAATTAATTAAACCTCAGAACACCCTTGGGGAATAGGCAGTATTATTTCTCCTCTCCTCAGATGGGAAATCTGAGATATAAAAAGGTTAAGTGGATTGTTTAAGGTCAGAAAGTCAGTCAATAGTAAGCCAGAAAACAGACCGGGGAACGCTGTGCCCCAGACCTCTACCCAATGACAGAAATCGCTCTAAACAGGTATTTCAAGTACTTCCTAATACATCTGCCTAATCATCCTTCCGTCTTTACCCTTTTTGACTCATTGTCTTTACAAGGTCTTTTGGTATATGCGATCTATTCCTTTTGAAGGGAAAGTTAGCTAGACAGAGGAAGGGGTAAAGCAATAGAATGAATAGATGTTACTCACTCAAATTACCAAAAAAGTAATTTCAGTTAAAATAAGAGGAGAAAAACTCTCAGACTGCAAATAATTCTTTTCATTATTACGTGCATATATAAATACATACATATTTGATTAAGAAACTAGAATGCCTCCCTCCATCCCACCTGAACCATCCCACCCCTGCCCCAGTCCCAACCCCTCAATCTGTTGTGTGTTTTAAAACGTCCTTCTATATGAAAGCCAACTGATAACAATGCTATTGTAAGAAAAACTAAAAGCCTACTAATAACTTCATAATGGTTTATACAAATGAAAACGCCTGGCATGCTATTAAACTTAGACTTCAAAAGGCAATGGAGTAAAATAAAATATTATTAACATAAAATTGAAAGAAACAAAAAAGTTCTCTCAGGCACATGAGACTCAGACATGCATCTAGTTTTCATTTCCTTTTTAAAAAGTGAGGCAATCATCATATTTAATGTTAAAGGGACTTTATGAGCTGATGATTACTAGATGAAATTATTTGCTTTTTAGAGTTATTCTTAATTTATTTTTAATTAGACCACATACGTTAAAAACAGGGCAAACAGTTAAGACTCAGGATTTTCCGTGTTTAAAGGGTGAATGTTTTTACCCAACTTAAAACTGTAGCAGTTCTTTGTTTTTTTTGTTGTTGCTGTTTGTTTGTTTGTTTGTTTGTTTTTAGGCTGTATACTAATACACCCAATGACTTTTTATATATAACCAAATCAAGTCTCTACATATTTTAAAAACTCACATCAGGTCTTGAGATAAAAAAAAGCTTATACTGGCTCGCTCAGGAAAGAACAGAAGAAAAAATAGCTTCTTAAAGATAGAAACCTTTCTCCATTGAAAGACAATAGTTTACATCCCAACAAATAGAAGCCACACAGAAAATTCTAACGTCAGGTGTAACCGCTGCCCTCTTTTATTAACAGAGTGGTTATTTTCTTCAGCAAATCACAAACTGCTGTTTTGCCTTTCATGAGCCTTTCCTTTTCCAACTCACTGCCCTGCCCACGTACACTTTTGCTGCATAAATATCAAATAAGTAAGGATATCACACAACCAAAATGTAAAATAAGTTTGCTTTCATTTTAGTTTCAGCCAGCAACTAGAACACAATTAACCTCTTATGAAATACTTTTGCCTCTGGAGGTCTGAATCTAAAAGGCAAAACTCATTTTTCTCTTTTTTCTTTTCCTTGTTTATAAACAAATGTTAAACATGGCTCCCCTTATAACATTTGTTTTAAGCAGTTTTAGTTAACAAGAATCTATCTATGATTTTTTGTTGTTGTTATTAACCATGCTACAGATAGTAAAGCCAAAACAGCCTCAAAATGTAAGTTTAAAAAGTACTTTTGAAATTTCTTTAGAAAGCTTTGGTAGAAGAGGTAATTTAGAACAAATTAACAAATAATGTCATGCAGTGGTTAAATTGCCATAATACATTTCTTCTTTAGAGGTTCCTGGAATTTCTTGTTTGTGGTTGTCACACTGATAGCAAGCTAGATGTTAGTCCCTTTAACTGTATTTTAATGGCAATGTATTATAGCATGATTTATCAACATATGGCAGGTGGAAGCTGACACAAATTATAATGAAAATTAAAACAGTCATTTATGCAGCAGGCGATTATCATTTAAGGAACATTTATTTGCAGGCTTTAAAAATGAGGGTTTAGAATCAAATGAATTTAAAATAAAAGTTTTAACGACGGTTACCTTTTTCCTGCAGCCACTCCTCTACGGGCCGGTTATATTTGAAGGGGATTTTCTGTTTTACCATTTGGAAGCGTTCATTATCAGTGTTGCCTTTAAAGTTTAAAAAACAGCTTAAAGAACAATCTGAAAAGTCAATAAGTCATTAAAAAACATCCTAGGTTTTTGGTTTGTTTTATGAAGTTTTTAGAGATAGATATCAATTTATCTTTAGTAGAGGTGGAGTCGAAGTCACTCTGTCCTTGGTTGACAGGTTTGAGGTCAGGTTAGTGTTAGCTATGCCGTGCTCCATCAGGTTTTGGAAATGTGGCATGGGATAGGAATCAGGAAGAAGTCTGGCCTTTCATAGAATGGGTTTACCTTCGCTCTTCATCTCTTATTCCAACCTTACCTTAATTGGGCCAATGGAGGCACACAGATCTCTTTGACCTGTGAGTAATGAGCTTGCCAGATAAGCTTAAGAATACGGTAGGGGACCCTCAGTGTCTCGGTCATTCATGCTCCATTCTCACTCAGCTGTATCCTACCAGAAGCGTGGCCCACGCACTTCCTTATTCTACTCTTAAGTGTTTGTAGCTGCTCTTGCTTTGGCAGAGGGAAGCCAAGAAGACAATTTAAGTCTTGATGGACAGGTGAGACTACTTATTCCATAAAGGAGGTCCTGTTATCTCATCACCTATGTTAAATACATAGAGTATTACAGATGACTCCTTATATTTCTATCCCTTTGTCTATATTTGTTTCACATTTAAAAAAAGGACCCCCAAAGTACATATCTGTAAATAAAAGCAGCTATAAATACTATGATGTAGCATCTGCAGATGTTTGAACACCTACACTTTATTACTTACTAATAGATGCATTCTTTATATATTTACCTAGTCTCTCTCTCTCTTACCTTCCTATGAGAGATCCTTCCTGAATAAGCATCCATTCATAAAGCCTGTTAGAGATACTTCTCCCAAGCATGAAATATCTAATTAGTGTCAAACCTCAAATATAATGTTTTTAAGTGCTGGTATGCCCCTTTTTTCATTTTGTAACTATTTCTACCCCTGGATGATTTCGCTAATTAGGACAGACATGGAGAGTAGTGTTGTGGAGATATACCCCTAATGCATATGCTTTTATTATTATAAAACCATGCTCTGGGAAACATTCTATCTCAATTAACCTGACAGTGATCAAGGAGAAACTAGTGAATTCTAATTCACTACTTTGACTCATAGCTTTATATTAGAACTTAGGGGATCCCATTCCAAATTACCAACATTAAAAATTAATCAAAGTCTCAAAACAAGTGGCTTGGAAATGATTTACAAAAAAAAAAAAAGGCTAAAAGCCAGAAAGAATGTTGGAATTGAATATATCATCAGGTCAAGCGAACAGAAGCTTGACATTTCAATCTTAGCGCCACTTCCATCTAGGAGTTATTGGCAGATTCCACA